TTTTTTTATTAATGTATCATTTATATTTATATTAAAAAGAAAAAATTATAATTACATTAAATAAAATAACTAAAATTAAATCAACTAGCACACAAAAAAGTTATTTTTCTGTTAAATTATTCTCTTTTTTTATTAATGTATCATTTATATTTATATTAAAAAGAAAAAAATTATAATTACATTAAATAAAATAACTAAAATTAAATCAACTAGCACACAAAAATGTTATTTTTCTGTTAAATTATTCTCTTTTTTTATTAATGTATCATTTATATTTATATTAAAAAGAAAAAAATTACAATTACATTAAATAAAATAACTAAAATTAAATCAACTAGCACACAAAAAAATGTTATTTTTTATGTTAAATTATTCTCTTTTTTTATTAATGTATCATTTATATTTATATTAAAAAGAAAAAAATGACAATTACATTAAATAAAATAACTAAAATGAAATCAACTAGCACACAAAAAAAGTTATTTTTCTGTTAAATGATTCTCTTTTTTTATTAATGTATGATTTATATTTATATTAAAAAGAAAAAAAATTACATATGAAGAAAAATTATTGTTCATTTAATGCATGTTTGTTGCTGTCTGTAATGTGACAAAATGAGAAAAGGTTCAATAGGGGTTAAAAACCAGCATCTAAACAGGAAGGCTCAGCAACGGACCAGTCTCCTGAGAAGTGTGCGTGTTCCTTTAAGACGGATGCAGATGCATCGTGGACTTCAGCCGGTCCTGTCACAGACACCGCATCCTTCACGTGACGTGCATTCACTCTGTTAACACTTAACTCACTTGTGCTGCTGCCTGGAAAGCATCTGTTCCAGATAAGTGTGCTTTAACAGAGTTAGAGAACGGATGTAAAAAAAAAACAAAAAACCAACAATAAAGAGCTTAAAAATGCACACAAAGATGTTATAAAACATGCCTGCAAGTTGGGTTGGGTAGGGAAGGGGGGACACATTGGGTTTCCAATTTTAGCCAAGAAGAAGTCCCGGATATATGGAAGTTTTGTTTTTAACTTCTTCTTTAATTTAATATTTATTCTTAGAAACCAAGGCTGAGGTTTTAATGTATTTACCTTTATAGATTTTTCTATTTCACCTCCACAGAGGGCCTGCATCGGGATTCTGAATGGCTTCCATGTCGGGTTCAGGTTGTACATCACGACCTAAACAAGGAATAAGAAAACAATAACAAACAATTACTGCGTATTTGGACACTCAAAAAAACAGATTGGGTGTTTACTAAATGAGTCATGCGTTGTAGTCGAACATCATTCAGAAATGTTATTTTAAGATGGTGTGGAATAACTTAACATGTACTAAATTCAGTAAGAACCTAATGCTTATTGGGCAAGATATCAAATATCATTAATAACTCCAGGACAGAAGGTGGCAGTAGGGTGCGAGCAGGAAGGGCATTTAGAAACTTTACTTCCAGAAAGTTCATAAGAACGGAAAAGAAGGGCAGTTTCTTAATTCACAAGAACTCGAGTACGGACTCGTGTCCTCGCCATGTATGTTTTTGAGAAGAACACAAGAAAGTCTGGACTTGGGGAGAACAGGAGATTAACATTTTGCCAAATAAAACAAACAAAAAATCGCAGTCAGAGCCAGTCACGGAATCACGGACGGAATCACGGAATTGGCAAATTAACGCGGAATCTAGTGTAAACGCGGAATTTCTACATTTGAAATGAAATTCTGTTTTTGTGTGGGAGAAGAAGGTACGTCCGGGGGAAATGCACACCGGGGGACGCAAATCTGTGCAACACAACCCCTCCCGCTCCGTCATTTCCGCTCACCCTCCCCCATCAAAACATTGAAAAAATGGCGAAGCGGCTCTCCACAGCTCCGCTTTCGGCGAAAAAGTTGAGAAACACGACGCTGAGCCCTGAGTACAGAGCCGAGCAGTTCCCTCGTGACTTTTACGTGTCAGGTGAACTATTGTTTTGCAAGTTTTGTCAACATTTCATTGATTAGAAGCGCAAAAATACATACATAAAATGGAAAAAAATGAATTTTCAAAAATTAAAATGGAAAAAAACGGAATTTGGGAAAAAATAAAACAGAATTTGGGAAAAAATAAAACGGATTTTATAGGGCTCTACGCTACTTCACACATGGCTATGCTGAGAGAGGGCTGCTGCAGACGGGGTGCGGTTAGCCCAGACTGCGGCTAGCCTCGGAGGTCCGCTGGTTGGCGCAGTCCTCTAACCAGTATAAGCCCTCTGCTACTACTGAATGAGCGGCGCTAGGCACTGTGGGACAGGCGTCATGTAAGGACAAACAGGGCAACAACGCGTAATATTCTATGAAGTTCCAGAAACACTTATATTAACAATTACAAATGATTTATAAACAAATAAATTTTTTTATTGTCCATCGTCAATGGCTTGTAAATTTTGTCTGGTCTTAGACTTGTTGATGCAAATAATTTTTGAATCTCGTCATATTTTTATTTTCTGGAAACAATTTTTGTGCGTCATCGTCTCATCATCAACACGGGAAAAAGGGGCGTTAACGAAATATTTTGGTCATCCTCCTGGTTGACGAAATTAACACTGCTTTGTGCCTTAGTATTAATACCACCAAACACTTTTTATCATGAATCAACATTTATATCACTTAGCAAAAAAATAATTTTTTGCTAACTTAGCATGTGATGATCCTTTTTTTTAATGTTTGCCTGACAATTTGTTTTTTATGTACCTCTGTCCTATGAGCCAGCTGCCATCCCGTTTCCGTCTCCTTGTAGAATTCCAGGAATGGGTCGGATTTTCCGAAAAAGTCCTGGAAATACAAAAAAAAAAAAATCACACTAGTTAAGTTCAAACATTTTAAATCTAACAAGTGAAAGACTTCAGACATATCCTATGAATCCTCAGCACTTTCACTTAATGGCAAGTATTAAGATGTTATTCAGTATTTAGTATTCACTTTTGTAAAACTGCAAAAACAATCTGTACTCTCTGCAATGATAAGGTGAAATGAGATGGTTCATTTTTTTCAGATATCACTAACAACTCTATATCTAATCTGATAAGGGAGATAATGCTGATGAAATATTTAAATGCTTCACTTAGAGACCTGAGTCAGATTTAATATGGATCAATAAGAAGGACTTGAGATGAGTGATAGAAAAGCAGAACAATCGGGCATCCAAACCTTCTTGTCTAGTTTCCTGGCAGAGACTTCAAATGCCACCATCCTGTTGTCAGTCATCTCTTCTGCACAAATCTAAAAATAGCAAAAACAGAAAATATAATTAAAACCTGAGATTTTCCATTTTATCGCCCCACTTATACAAGCTTCAGTGCCTTTTATTGGGGTTTGATTTATTTGGATCTGCCAGAGGAAAAATCATCCGTTTAGTAACTGAACTTTGAGATGTTTTGTTAATTGCGCTCTGTTTGAAGTGACCTGGTCACGGATTGCCATGGAAACAGAGAAGCCGGATAAGGAAGTAACAGGGGTGTGAAAACAGCCTCATTGGAAACAAAACCCACACTGGATGGGAGGAAAATGATTTGGATTTGTAATGCTTGGTTTGTTTGCTTTTTATAATGTAATGTTTAAGTTAAATGTAAAATATTGGGGAATGTTTGTTTTACTGGAGATATAATTTACTTTGTTCTACACCAGGAGTCCTTAGCATCCGCTGTCCTACATGTTGTAAATGCATCACTGCTCCAAAACTCTCTCACTGCAAAAAAGTCATTTTTTTCTTTAAATAAGTGCATTGATTCTTGAATTGAGGGGGGGGAGTGAGACATTTTGCCAATGGAACAAGACAATTTACATTTAAAATAAGAAAAAACAATTGCATTATCGTTTTTCAAGTGCAAATTATCTAATTATCTTATCTTATAAGTGAAAATAATAATCCCATTGGCAAACTATCTCATTTACCTACTCA